CGTGAGTTAATCCATAAAATCATTGAAATGTATGGAAAGTGTACGAGCATGATTGATGCACGGAGAATGTTCGATCATATGCTTGAGAAGAATATTTATTCTTGGCATTTGATGATTAATGGGTATGCGGATAATGGGTTAGGAGATGATGGGTTGCAAATGTTTGAGGTGATGAGGGAGAAAGGGTTGCAACCCAATTCCGAAACTTTTGTTGCAGTATTCTCAACTTGCGCTAGTGCAGATGCAGTGGAAGAAACATTTATACATTTTGAGTCGATGAAAACTGAGTATGGAATTTCTGCTGGAGTGGACCATTATATGGGAGTTCTGGATGTGCTTGGAAAATGTGGTCATCTCAATGAAGCAATTGATTATATTGAGAAGCTCCCGTTTGAGCCTACAGTGCTGGTTGGGAGGCTTTGAAAAGTTATGCTCGGATTCATGGAGATTTTGACCTTGAAGATCATGTGGAGGAGTTAATGGTTGCTCTTGACCCATCAAAGGCTGTTGTGAATAAGATCCCAACTCCACCGCCCAAAACGCGTACTGCCATTAGCATGCTTGATGGCAAGAACAGAAGCAGTGAGTTTAAAAATCCAACACTCTACAAGGATGATGAGAAGTTAAAGGCTCTTGCTGCGATGAAAGGAGGAGGTTATGTGCCAGACACAAGATATGTCCTTCATGACATTGATCAGGAAGCCAAGGAGCAGGCCTTGCTTTATCACAGTGAGCATTTGGCAATTGCGTATGGTCTCATTAGTACTCCGCCAAGGCAAACTCTTAGGATCATCAAGAACCTCCACGTCTGCAGTGACTGCCACAATGCAATTAAGATCATGTCAAAGATTGTTGGAATGGAATTGATCGTCAGGGACAACAAACGTTTCCATCATTTCAAGGACGGAAAATGCTCTTGTGGGGATTATTGGTGAAGCCTCAGACTTGTCTAAGAGTTCTTCCCAGTTGCTGTTTGGTGTGTAAAGAAAGTTCAAACTATGCCGAGCTATACGGGATCCTGTGCAGATGAGCACCAGTGCTAGTAGTTGGTAAGAGATCAACCATCCACTGCTTGTTTTGACATATATGCTGAACTATATATGCATTGCATTATCTGTTTGTTTCGATGTCGAATCAATTATTTGTCAAAAATTAAAATAATATTTTCTTATCCTTTTGCGGCATCCCGATTGCTCTCTTCTTATGAGATACTGTTGGAAATCACTGTATTTTGGTTCATGATGTCTTGAAGCTATTAGAACATGCTTTCTTTGACAAAAAAAGAACATACTTTCAAAACATGTCAAGATGGTCCATCTATGGTGCAGAGATGGTGTTTTGGTATTTAGTTAGCAAATTGACGTGGCATTGAAGTTGTAAAGTGGGACTACCAACTAGCTCGTGATCTAGTGAGTTACTTTCTCAAGTCCCTAAATTCAAATTTCCCATCCTCGTTGATGAAAACAAGAAAAATATGAGGGACTATGGCATGATAGATGGCCAGCTTCCAATTTGCATGAAGTTAATAAACCTTGTTTCGAAGGGATTCTTAGCTCTCTCCAGTTGTATATCCCCTTGTGTCGTGATCATGTGATCAAGGAGATAAACACAAGGACACATAAAGCTGGTTGCAAAGGAGATTATCTCGAAGAAAAGAAGAGACATTTGTCTTCACATGGATTTACATCAACACACAAACACAAATGCAAATTGTATCTCTATTGCTCTATGCACGTCTCATGGAACGAGTCATCATGTTAGAACCTGCTCTACATCTTCCACAATTGCACAAAGAGAGAGTAACAGAAGAACAATACAAACAATATAATTTCATTAACTGCCTTTCCATCTGTACAATCTCCTATTTATCCATTAACAAGTAACTAACTACTAACAACCTTGTACAGATGTCATCATCCTAGTATGCCATCTGGCAATATCCTAACAATACCCCTCCCTTAAAACCAATCTTACAAAGTAAGATTTACAATTTGAACTAAGTACAATTGAAAACCAGCAATAAAACCGGGAACAACAAAATCACAAGAATGTATTAAAGGATCAACAATTTCTGAAAACTGGAGCTTCAAATCATGGTATATCTCCCCAGTAGCATCACTCCTTCAACGTCAATTAGTGAGGAACCAATTTTCTGACAAATCAGCGACAAATGCAGAAAGTTGATCCTTGACCTTTATCCAAGACCATCCCGGCTCCTTAATTACCCCCTTCGATCTCATCATTTTCCTTACTTCTACCGCTTCCCACCATTTCCCTTTAGCAGCATACATGTTGACCAGGGTTATGTGAGTCGCTGCACAACTCGGATCCAATTTAAGGATCTCATCTACATCACGTCTTCCACAGTCGGTGTCACCATGGAGCCTACAAGCTCTAAGGAGTGTAGACCAAACAACATCATCCTGTTGAAATGGCATACTTTTGATCATATCCTCTGCTTCACCTAACCGTCCAGCTTGATAGAGGAGATCAACCGTGCAGCCATAGTGTTCCTTTGCAGGATTAATCCCAAAGTCATTGCTCATTGAATTGTAGTGGAAACCAAGATCAACCATTCCAGCATGGCAACAAGCAACAAGAACACCGATGAAGGTCACCAAGTCTGGTTTCAGACCAACCCTAGGAATCTTCTTAAACAGAACAATGGGTTCTCGGTAGAACCCATGTTCAGCATATCCATTAATCATCGCCGTCCATGAAATAATATCACTAAGTTCTGTCACATCAAAGATTGCAGCTTCTTTTATACTTCCACATTTCGAATGCATATTCACAAGAGCACTTTGTACCATAGATGTAAACTCTAAACCGACAAACAGAACATGAGGGTGCAGTTGTTTCCCTTGTTCAAGCATTGCCATGCTTCCACAAACACTCAATACACTAGCAAGAGCAAACTCATTTGGTTGTGGTCCGTCCCTTCTCATCCACGACAAAAACTGAAAAGCTTCTTCCCCGTAACCTCCTTGAGAATACCCGGCAATTCAAGTGTTCCATGAAACAGTATCTCTCCTGCTCATCTCATAAAACACCTTAGAACCTGAAGCCAAACACCCACATTTCGCATACATGGTTACAATGGAATTTTCCACCGACAACAAAGAGATAAGACCCCTTTGTAAAACGTGGGCATGCAATTGTTCACCCCATTCAACTCTAGCAAGATTGGCAACTCTAGCTATGACACCTGCAAAAGTGTATTCGTTAGGACTGACACCGGCTTCCTGCATTCTTATAAAGGCTTTGATTGCACGGTCCTCTTGACCTGTCCAAACATAAGTTGTAATGATTGATGTCCATGAAAGACATCTTGTATCCTCATTTTTTTCACACAACTGCAACCCGTAGTCTAATTTGCCACCACCCTTATCCCAAATGCCCTTGCAGTAGTCACGATTGGGAACAACATAGCAAACAACACAGCAACCAGTTTCAAATACGGAGAGAGTGAACTTTCTTTCATTTTTTCTGTTCTTGTCCATACAAGCTTCTAAATGATGCAATCCCAAATTACCAGCATACTCCCTATGAATGATCATGGAAGAATCAAAACTCACCTCACATTTGACCACCTTGGAACAATCAGAAACACAATCTTTATTCTGGGACTTCGAATTGAAGAGCCTCTAACTAATTGTTCCACCCTTGTCCCGAATTCCCTTGCAGTAGTAGCCCATGGAACCATTGATAACAACACAGAAACTTGAGTCCTCACAGCTTGCCAATAAATCCATTGACTCAAAACTGGAGAGAAACTTGGTACCTCCTTTATCACGAATGCTCAGATGGTAGCCAAGTTTAATATCAAGAATGTAACCTGAGTTCGACATTTTGTCGAACAGGTAGAGTGCACGCGAACCAGGCAATTTAGCTTTCTTGAACTCAACATTAGAAACATGAATTTCCAAAATGAAAACTTGGGATTTGCCATTCTTATAATCAGATTCAAGAACAGTCGCTGATTTCGAATGAAAGAACCTTTGAATATTTGTTCCGCCTTTGTCACGAGTGAATTCATGGAAGCCAAGCTTCAAAGAAGCAATGTCGACCGTTTGCTGCAGTCCAACAAACACATGGTGGGCATCATTTTCACCAGATTTCGCAACCGAAATTAAAAGCACTTCAGGGAAAGAACCCACTTCAGGAAAAGAACAAAGACCCACATCACAGAGCAAGGAGTCTTCCCCTTTCTTGGCCAACAATTTTGAAGCATAAACTTTTTTCTCCATTCCTATAAATTCACAATCAGAAACAGAGAACCCAGAAACCAAATCGTTTGTGGCACCTGTTTTGTAATCAAAATCAAGAAATGGAGGACTTCGCACAGAATCTTTAGCTTCCCTACCAAACAAATCGAAAACCTTCTTGTTCTCCCCAGCCAGAACTTTCAAAGAAAACCCAAAACTTACTTGAAATCTGGGGTTGGAACGAAATGTTGCAGAATCATCGTCGTGGTGTTTGCCGTAGTCGTGAACCTTCTTGAATCTCTTCAATATGGGTTGCAGACAAGGAGGACTTTTGGGCTTGTATTTTGGACGGTACTGAGACAAGAATTCATCCACTTCCTCTCGAGCACAAACCTTTTCCTTGTGGAGGATTGAAGCTTGAGAACAATTTGATTAGACTTCTCAAGAGAGAGAGGAGATGTCGATTTGATGAACGGCTGATGCATCGATGTAGCTGCAGAAGATTCCACACCAAGTTTTTCCGCAAGCAACTTCAATTGAAGAAGAATTAAATCAGTGGTAGTCTTGAATTCGGTCCAAAATTTGGCCTGAGAAATCCTGAATTCTTCTTGAGACTTCTTGAACTCGTCGGACTTGGCTTCCCGATTGGAAACCCTCGATTCCATGGTTTTGCAAAACGTTTGCGGCGGTATACAACGGAGAAGGATTGAGAGGAACGAACGTTTGGCTCTGATACCAATGTTAGAACCTGCTCTACATCTTCCACAATTGCACAAAGAGAGGGTAACAGAATAACAATACAAACGATACAATTTCATTAACTGCCTTTCCATCTTTACAATCTCCTATTTATCCATTAACAAGTAACTAACTACTAACAACCTTATACAGATGTCATCATCCTAGTATGCCATCTGGCAGTATCCTAACACATCATGGTCATGAAATCTTTTAAGTTAACCATACCATCCCCATCAGTGTCTACGGCTCTCACTATCCGCCGGCAGTCGTCAAGGTTGCAACTCTCCTCCAATCCCGTTAGCACTTTCATAACTTCTTCTGTGCTTATTTTTCCGTCGCCATTCAAATCAAACGTCTGAAAAGCGTTCTGGATGTCTATCGTCCGAATCTCTCCGTTGTGTACATCCATGAACTCCTTGAAATTGATAAAGCCATCCCGATCCAGATCAACAATCTTTAAAATCTTCTGCACTTGTCCAACCTTGCTTCCCTTTCCTAGTGCTCTCAATATGGCCTTGTACTCAGCCGAAGATATCTTCCCGTCTTTGTTGGAGTCGAACTTGTCAAAGACTTTCCTCATCTCATTGTGATTTGGCTCAAAAGTAAGTGCTAAGCCGGAGTTTTGCCTGTCTTGGAAGGAAAATATCCGAGATGGTTTGCACAGAAACTTCCACTTTGAGAGGCTGTACTGGAAGTCGAGGGAGTTGACATTTGACATATGCATCTCAGGCGATCAGAGCAAATACCAAAATCAGACTTTTATTCAACGGTCCAGGTAACCGTCAATACAAGGTTGCAGAAACTTGGCGTCTCCAATCTTTATATACTGTATACAACAATTTCATTCCATAAAAAGCTGAGGCAATTCAAGAAGAATAGATTCTTAGGTGATAAATGGCAGAAAAAAGCTAAGAATAGATAATAAAGGAATACATTCTTTACAAAGGCTAAGCAACTACAATCTCCCTTTGAAGATTGGTTTTATTTTTTATTTGAAATTTATAAATAAGTACTCAAAGGGAGTTATAACAGAACTCACCAAACTAATCGTAAAATATTTCCCGATATACAAAAAAATTAATAAGAAATAACTATGTTTAGCTCATGGCGGTTTTCCATTATCCAAATCCACCATCACTTCAATGTCCTTGCGAGCTGTTATCTTCTGTACGTATCCTACAATGATGAATATCTTGAGTAAGAACTCTAGGGTTGTACATAAAAAACACAAGGGTTCCAAAAAAAGATTTGCGTTCATAAATGATGACCCAAGTGAATCAGTAAAGTTTCCATTCGAGCTTTGCACAAGCTTTGATGCCTATTAACTTTAAGCATCCTACCCGTAGGGTTCTTTCATAACGTAAATGTTAAGGTTGTCTTCCGCATCATCAAATATTCTCATATACCTCCCCTTTACAACATGGAATTGTGCCCAACTGCGTGCCAAACATTTTCATTGCTCCTATTTCTGGCACTAAACCTCCAACCAAGAGAAGAAAGTTGGCAGACCTAGTCAGTATTGGAGTTAAAGCAAAAGAATTGAAAAACGGTAGAGACACGCTTATCTTAAATTCCATACATCTTCAGATGATATATCATTTCATTACCTAAGTTTACAACTTAAACCTTATTTGAGGACTGGACTCGAAAACATGCATCTACCGCAATGTATTAAAAGGCCAAGGCGTGGGCGAGGCGTCCCATGGATAGCCCCGTCTAGGTGTGAGGCGAAGCTTCACGGTACCTAAAATTTTAATATATATTACATACAAAATTATATTTTATAGATATACTACTTTGTAAAACAAATATAATTATAACTAAATCAAAGATAATAACATCTTCTTCATTACTAAGGCTAGTTGTACTTAGAAACTATGTCATAAAGTCTTAAAATGTTGTAATTATTTGTTTTATTGTAAGCAATTATAGAGAACTTTAAGAGAAATAAGGGTAAGTGGTCACAATTATAGGGAATTTCAAGGAAAATAAAGGTTGAGTGTCACAATTATAGGGAAATTCAAAAGGAAATAAGGGTTGAGTGGAGAAATTCTAGGGAATTTAAATGAAATAAAGGCTGAGTGGAGAAATTATAGGGAATTTAAAAGGAAATAAAGGCTTAGTGGAGCAATTATTATAGGGAATTTAAAAGAAAATAAAGGAAGAGTTAGAGTTGGAGTTAGACTTTGTCATTTGGAGAGAGAAGCTCTCTTTCTTCTTCGTTTAACTAGAACAGTCTCCTACATTTTAGAAACAAAAATCAATTTTGAAGGGAAAATACGCCCATGTTGAATGCCTAGGCACACCTCAGCCGCCTAGGCACACCCCAACACCGCCCTACGCCCACCCCCACAAAACAGAGGCGAAAATCCAACCGCCCAGCCTTCAAGATCGCCTAGGTGCGCCCTGAGGTGAGTTCTTTAAAACACTGATCTACCATGAGATTTATATGGGTGGCTGAAATGGATAATGGACAATAATAGGGGAGATGCAGCAATCTGACATGTTAACATATCTGTTAAAACGCCCCAGGCAATACAAGTCATGATATTAAAGGAAAGCCTCAACTTAGCCGCCAGGAACCATTGTAAGAAATTCAAATATCCCGGTTTCTTGCTTCTAACTGTCACTACAAATCCTATCGAATATAGTCACACATGAGAGCTAGAAGGATTGCGTCCAACAGAAAAGACAAAGGTTGTATCTATTAAGATGAAATAAGATGAAAGGAGAGCATATTATTTAAACTCGAGAGTTCAAAAGTTAAAACCACAAGGATGCTTTGTCCAACATTAACCAGTAAGTTTAATGTACTCGGGATAACTGTCAATCACTACCTATATAGTTTCAAGTTTCACATACTTAGATCATTTATGTCACACTAGACTAGATAGTACCGAAATATATATAATTACATAAATTAGTTGATAATGTACCATCATAGCTCCTTTGAGGTAACTTTTTATATTACTCTCTCTGTCTCACCACACACACACACAGATGGAGGACAATGCTTATGCCACCGGAAAATGGTTCAGCTGTGCTACTGCCTGTTGGCCTCAGTAATTGAGAAACAAGAGACACGATAGAGAACTCTATAAACTCTTTAAATAATTTATGTATACAAGAGTTCAGAGAAACCAAATGGAACAACGACAACATAAAATTTCCTAGAGGCATAAAGAAACCAAGGAACACTTCCAGATACCCCAATAATATATTTCAAAGAATTATTCCCAAGTCAAAAATTCCATTTGTCCCCAACTTGTCTACATCAGAGAATTCGAACAATAACTTTGATTATGCTCTATTCCTGTTCAGTTAGGCTGTCAAGCCTACCAGTTGAATTATATAAGGCTTATATTGTTTAGAAAGGAGGAACTTTGACAAATCCAACAAGCCTACCGGTATTTGTACCAGTCTATGTTAAAAATCGAAAAACACTTCTACACCTTGAACAGAGTATCACAAGAAAATGTTCAACATGATGGTCTCAAAATCTATTGTTCAAGAGCTAAAGCCTATTTACCTATGATTCATGTGAGTGTTTAAACCAGTAAACAGTATGAACAAACACATATGTAATGAACAATTCCAATCACAACCCAAAACGAGAAAGCACAAAATTTAACATGTAATCGAGTAGAACCCGTCTTTCACAAGCCTCCAACATACAAAGCACAAAATCAGCTCAGAAAACCCCAAAAATTAAAAAAAATTTACAATCATACCGATTCCTTGGCAGGGTATGCATTTGCAGACTGTCTCCTTTCCTCTTTTGTTGTAATAACTTACAAATCCTGAGCCTTGGCAACTATTGCACTTTCCTGTCCATTCATACACAACTTCCTTGCAATCCTACAACAATTTCCAATTTTTTTTTTTAAATAAATGTTTTGTTAATGGATTATCCACAGGTAATTTTGCAAATTTGAACCAAATCAAAACTGAAATTCCGATCCTGACCTCAACTACAGGATCGCATCGGAGCCTGCGGTCAATCTCCTCCGCCGAGACGGGCGACGTATTGGGATAAGTCATCGGGAGAGGGAGGGCGTCGCCGTTGTCGAACAAATAGCTCTCTCTATCGCGTGACCATTTCCTCTCCTTGGCGTTCACCTTAACACCAGAACTCCCGCTGCTACCGCCCTCGAGGTCAGAATCTTGGCCAATTCGGACGCCGACAGAAGACGCGTCGACAGCGGTGGACGGGAATTGGATTAGGCGGGGGAATGTGGGGCCCCGAGGGAGGTCGCCGGTGGCGGCGCGGCAGCGGAGGGGTGAGGGTTTGGTGGGGAAGAAGAGGCTAGGGTTTGTAGCCAACATTCCAAGAAATGGTGAGGAGCTCAGGAGTCAGAGGAGCGACAGGGAGAAAGAAAGGCTATGAGTTGGAGGGAGGTTTGTTTATATAGATCACCAATGCCGCGCGCGCGGCAACAGCAAGGCACACTAACTTGCGGTCCCTGTTCGTTTATCAAGTGGAAGCTTCACCAGTTGACCTGGATTCTCTCCCCTCCCCCATCTCATTACTTTTTCATAGTCTTCTATTTTTTATAGTAACGATTAAGTCACGTTAACATTTTATATTAATTTTTTTTTATAAAAATAATGAGATAAAAAGTAATAAAAATATAAAATATTGATATGACTTAAACGTGATCATAAAAATAAAAGAGGATGAAAAAGGTATGGGATAGAAAGGACAGAAAATCAAGTCCCTCCAACTCTCTTCCTCTCCTTTCGGCTCTCTCTCTCTCTACTTACATCACTCAACTATTATTATATTCAACATCTCACTTTCTTTTCCTTCTTTTAAAACCGATTCTCTCTCTCTCTCTCCCCCTCCCTTTCTTTTCGGCTTCTCTCTCTTTTCCCTCTCACTAATTGTTTTATTTTTAAAACTCTCACCCTCATTCCATCATCTTTTTCATCTCTGTAAACAGAAAGGTCGAACGGCCAAGAATCTTCACCCTCCATTTCTCCAGCAAACCACATTTTTCGACCAAATCTAGTCCCATAAATCCATATTTCGAACCTTTGGGACATAGGGAACATGACTACGTACAGCTTTGCATGCAGCATCATAGCAACTCTGAGTGCTCTGCCATTGAAGATCCGAGAGCTTCGAGTTCTAACTCTCAATCTCAGGTGAGATTCTCTCATTTTCTTCAACTTCTGGGTTTCCATTTGTGATGGAAATGAATGTTATGTTAAGTTCAAACTTGAATCCGTGTGTTTTTAGCCCTGTTATCCTCTACATGTGCATGCCTTCCCCGACAACGAACTCCAGCGACCTCCGTGGCTTTCGAGCCATCTTCCAACAAACCACACCACTTCATCTTGGTAAGCTCCAACTCTTTCTCAAGGTTTTCTTCTAGTTCTAACAAGGTTTCATGCATGCATGTGTGTTTCAGTGCGTTTGAGGGATGAATATCTAACCCACCATTTTTTCCGGCAATTTTGTAGGACTTCCGTTCAAAGCCCTGTGAAATCTCTTTGGTTTGGTCGAGTTTGAAATCATAGAACTCTTTCCCAATGTCCAAAGAACTAGTTTCAAGCAATGCATGCTCAAATGCATCAAGTTTGTGCGAAACTCAATGGCTGTGGCTTTTAAGCCAATTTCCGATCACCTCCGACCAAGTTTTGTTCCCCAAGAGGTATAAAAATGCTCTCCTCGTCCCAAGCTTCGTGTTGATACCTCTTATGGGTAAAATGGTTGAGAAATGACTCTGTTGTTGATGTGAAAATTAACTTGACACACAAATTAAACCCTATTTGTGACAATTGTAGTAGATATGTTAGTAGGGATCGTTCTAGACCGGGGATTAACTAGTGATGCTAATCTATATAATGAAGACTCAAAAACACTAAATTAGACTCTATAGACTCAAAACTAACTTTAGACACTTAAGACAGCAACCAATACTCAAAAAGACTCAATTTTAGACTCAATAAGGGTTTTGGACGAAAATAGGACTTGACTTGACTCAAAAGATTCAAGGAAAACAAGTTTTGACTCAAATATGAAGACTAAATAACATGGGGATTGTTTTTGACGAATTTTTTACTCAAAACAAAAACTTTGTAGGAAACACTTTTGAAAAACGAATTTAAGTAAAATAAATGGGTGAAAGGTTAGTTAGAGGGTCCTTCTCCACACATGATATATGCATACGAACCAATGTCCAGTTATTACTCCTTTAGACTATGAATGACAACGCCCCAAATTAGTTGCATCGCACAACTAACCCTCAAGTTTTCCTTATTTCATTGAATTGAATGAAAACGCATTGCAACCAAATTATCTTTTTCAAGTTCTTTATATGAGATGCATAACAAAGATACATATCAAAAGTCATTAAGTTTTGTGAAAACTATAAGCATTGACGAGGCATTCATCACTATGAAACGCATGAAACTCATACCAAGGATTTACTTAACGCGATTGTGACTAGCAACCTCCACTACTTGTGAATATAAGTGAATAACAGTTACATGAAACCCCCTATACTCTAGCATCAAGTTTATGCATGCAAATTAAGTGTTAACCCCCAACCCACATACATCAACCAGTTTTAATAACTTAGATAAGCAAATCACATTCATGCCTTAAGAAATAATAACCGGACGTAATCAATTCATATAAAACATATAATCATGGCTTCAAATTCTCCTCTAACTAAAAAGAAGTTAGTTCCTCATGTTCGCAAAACAAAGATAATTAAATTTAAACATTGAACTAAGACTAAGGATAGAAAGAACCAAGAAAAACGCTCCACACTCCAATGGCATGCACGGCACTCCCTTGGATGGCAGATTGCACCAGTCCTCCTCTCCTTGCTTCCTTGCTTGCAGCACTAGGGTGGTGTAGAATGGATTGTGGTGTTTGATGGATGAAAGTATGAATGAATGATTGAATGAGTGGATGAATGAATGGTGCGGCATAGGGCTGTTTATATAGGCTGATTATGCTCAATTAGTGAAGGAAAAGGATTGTACAATCCCATTGAAAAAGGGTTAAGTCTAGGTAGAAACCAAAGGGGAAATGGAATAGGTAGTGCACGGCTAGGATTTAGGGAATTCTAGAAGGTTAGGTGCGGCATCTTTGTAGGGATGAGATAAGGTTTCTAGAAAGAATGGTTTAGGGCAGATTCCTAAACCTAAAGGGGCAAGGACACATGATATAGGTGTAGAAGAAGGATTGCAATTCCTAAACCTATATGGAATGGTGTTTATGTGGCAAAAAAATGGATAAGCTTCTAGAAACTGTTCTAAGTATTTAAATATGCACCTAATCCCTTTTAATTAGCTAGATTTAAGGCACAACCTAATTTGGATAGGATAAGATAGGATAATGTTAGAGTTAGGAAAGGATAAGGTTGGTTAGGATAGGATAAGATAAGGTTGGATAAGGTTCCTTATTTCTTGCTTCTTCCTTATCTTCTTTGCATTTAGACTTCTTCCACCAGATTTGTAGCCTTTCCCAGCCCTTCTTGACTTCAATTCCGTCCATCCTCTTTACTCCATGGTTAAGCTATCCAATCCATGCCCAAAAATGCTCCATTTAGCTCCAAAATGCCCTTTCTTGCTCCATTTGTCATTAGGACCTAAAAACATACAAAAATAACTTAAAAGACTGAAATAAATAGTAATTAACTCCCTAAATGCAAGGAAACAACATAACTAAGTAGCATAATATGCTCCTATCAGTTGTGTTATTTTGGAATTCTCTAACAAAAATCCAATTCTTGTGCAAACTCAGGGAAATTAAGTTTAGTGCACTAATTCTTATTAGTTTAGTGATTAGTGTAATAATTTCCCGTATAAGAGATGATCACCCAGAGGAGTACTGGGAGCAATTGCTTTTATATACTATGATGTGACATGCCATGTTTAGCTTTACAAATAGACTTTCCGTACATTTTATATTTTTAATATTATTTGTGAGCATAAACTTGTGGCATGACATTCTTGCGTGTTATCTGCTCATTATTACACGTTTGTACGGTGTGACTTAGTTATTTGTACTATCATGGGCCAAGGACCAGCTTCATGTGTAGTTCACATGCACCGTTTACATTCACATTGGATCCAGAGTTAGGTGACAGCCTGTCCTTTTGTGTGATGTTTTGGAGTCATATGTGATGCGACTAGCACAACTCACGTGATGTAGTACTAGAATGTAAACCTACACCCAGCCTGTTCCACTGTTTGAATATCTCTACAGTGGACTTGTGTGCCTACATAAATTAATGAGCAATGATTTCGTATAATAACAACTTAAGATTTAATGTTGAGATACCTTGTTGGTGTACCCTACATCTTTTCACTCACTTTTATTGCAGGGTACCGTAGTACATACTAATATTATATTATTTTTAGGAAACCATGCTTATACCTTTTTTACAGCGAGAGGTTACACTTTTCGAAAAGGTTTTTACGAAACTTTATTTTCAAGCCCACTCACCCTTGTTTTTCGCCCCTCCAGGATTTTAGTGCTAGAGGTTTCATGACAACAAAGATGGTTGGCAAAAGCTGTTATTAGGAGACTTCTCTTTTCGGTATAAATTTCATTACTTTTCTTTTACTACAATTTACCTATGCTCTGACATCACTTGTGTGATATGGGTTCAATCCCCGCTCACATGTGCACTTTAAATTAGTCACTTTTGGGTCTTTATTTATTCACATTTTCCACGTCACTACACTTTATGGCTTCGTCACCTTCTAGGTGTCGGCCAGCACATCGCAATTCGGGTGTCCAAGTGGATATTTCGGGTTGGGGTGTGTCAGTTAAAATTATTAATTTTAAGATTTTAGTTATAATATATAGTTGAAAC